CTCGGCGGGATCGCAGCTGCCTCTGCGCGTCCTGGGGATGTACCTTTGTCGCGCGCCGGAGACGACTCGACGCCGCTGAGATCGGAGATCAAGCTCTGACAGGTCGCTCGTCGCTCCTTTGACGCCGACGTGACTCACCCGTGCAGATCACATCAGGACACGGTCTCGACACGCTCGGTACGACGCCTGCGACCCGTCTTGGGTCAGGTGGCACGACGCTCATCGCGCCTGCCAGCGCTGCCGTGCAGGTTGCCACGACGAGGTCGAGCACGCTTCTATACGCTCGCCCAGCCTTCCTTTCCATCCCATTTGGCAGCCTGGGAACGGTGGCGGTCAGAGGCAAAGCATACGAGGGGTGGTGGAACCACATGTCACGGCTACCGCCGGCTCGACCCCACGATAGCCTCCGGAGGCTGACTTTGAGGCACAATCATCGGACGACGTCGGCGAGTTGAGTCGCGCTCGCGGTAGCCAGATGACCTCTCATACTAGTATCATCGGCCATGGCCGCAGGAAGCGCGGGGGATTCCGCTGGGAGCAACACGGAGCTCCGTTGGACGCGTTTTCAAGATTAGCGTGTCAGAGTGAATTGGAACTAGCCCCTGTGACTTGTCACAGGAAGCGAGCGCGTCCTTCCAACATCTCCTAATTCGGGTCTTAGCGTAGCGGAGTGGGCCCCGAGTTTGAAAAGGCCGACGGCCTCGCGTATTCCTGGCGGCCCGCCTCTTATTTTTACTCGGCTGCACGCGCGACTCAAGTCACTGTGTGGAACGCGGAGAGCGATGGTCCTAATAAAAAGGTAGCAGCAGAATGGCGCGTTCTCGCCCCCTTTCCTGTACGCGTGGGTCTCACAGAACGATTGCGCATTGGACCTTCGAGGGCATCAAAGCCGGCCGCGCCCCACGGCTATCCCGCCGGCTCTCGAGTGTCACAGCGCGACGCGCTTCACACCCCTCGACTCCGCGCTGCGAGTCGATCTGGAGACGACGCTCGGCCACCGCCAGTCCACCCTGACGCGTCGCACATGCGCCGAGTGTCCCCCCCGAGGGTGTCCTTGTATAGTATGCTTGGTTGCGAGTTAAAAAAAGCCCGTTCCGCACCCGCAGCCAGCACGAGCAGTACATATGCCGTTGTGGTGCCCCTCGGCTGGCCAGAGGACGACTCACAATGCAAAATCGGAAAGACATCACGAGGGGCCGTATAAACGGTGCCGCAGCGGCCCGGGACACTAACAGTGAATTGCTGCCACTCGCCCGGCCTCCTCCCGGCGAGTCGCAATTCCAGGCGGTGTGACTGCCCAGAGTTTTCGCCGGGGAGGGGGAAAGAAGATTCTTTCGAAGGGTAGCTCAAAAGAATTTAAAAGGCACAACTTCTCTGTGTGTTGAGATAAAACTTCTGATGCCATGCGTGACCTAGTAGTGTCCCCAGCTATGGGCGTGTCCACGTTGGAGCCAGGTGTGGTGTGGATGCGAGAATAGCTCCGCCGTTGATGGAGGCAACCGATGCGAGTCGACTGGTGTGTGTCGTTTCGTATCAAGAATACTCACTCACACAACTTCTCTCAGCCCGGCCAAAGAAAAAAGAAAAAACCGGCAAAAACGACGAATCTCGCTGAACCGCTCGCTCTCTCGGGCTCCCTGATGGCGCTCTCACTGCTGCAAAAAGGCGCGCGCGCGCGCATCGATGGCCTGACGTCGCGCAAGGCTCTCAACGGTGCGGAGGTGGAGCTACTCAGCTTCCACGAGGCGTCGGAGCGGTGGTGCATTCGCGACGTTCAAAGCGGTGAGGCAATTCGCATCAAGCCAGGCAACCTGACGCGAGAGACGGCAAGCCTTCGCGATCGCCTCGGCGGCGACGCGAACGACCTGTTGCCGATTATCCTCGCCTATCTCGACTCGGAAATGAGCCTCCACGCGGTTGCACAGACGGACGCCTTCAATTGCCGCATCGCTACAGCCGTGCACGCGAGCGAGGCGTGGAAGGCGCTGCGCCCCGCTCGGCTGTACGACGCCCAAGCGGACGAGCTGTTCGAGCTTATGCAGGAGGGGTACCTCCGTCGCATCGATCGGCTGCTGCGGCACGGCGCGAGGGCACCCGGCGTCAACATGCGCAACCGTGTTGGCATGAGCGTGCTGCACGCCGTCTGCTTCTACAGACGTGACATGGTTGTTGCTGACGGCGGCGACTCCGGCGTCGTCGACCTCGTGCCGCACTTTGTCGAGCGCGGCGCCGATGTCAACGCCGCGACAATCGGCGGCATCACGCCGCTGATGATGCTCGTCTACGAGCGCTCGCACCTTGCGGAGATGTTCGACCTTGAGCAAGGCGCGGTCGTCAAGAAGAAGATGCTCGAGGCGCTGCTAGCTGCCGGCGCCGACCCCAACCTGCGCGCGGGCATAGGGCCTAAAGCGGACATCTTCTGCAACGGCGCGCTGTCGGGCAAGACCGCCCTCGAGATTGCGCGCGCCGGCAAGTACCCGGCCGTCGCCGCCTTCATCGAGGCCAAGATGGCGGAGCCTGTGTCATGAGATGGTGTGGTGGTGGTGGAGCGCACGTGAAAAATGAACTTAATGCTTTTTGTCTCCCACGCCACTGGCCGCACAACCACACAATAAGTGCGACCCTGGGCGAATCTTCGAGCTAGCTCTCCTCCCCCCCCCCCCCCCCACAGATTCCACAGATTCCTCGCCTCCGACCCGCACATCCCACAGATTCCTCGTTCAAAGTCCACCGTTCCGCTGCGTGACCGTCGCGGCTCTCGCCCGTGGGAAGGCGAACTTGCAGCCGCGAAAGCCGAACGCACATTCCCCTCCCACCGAGCTCTAAGGTTGATCGCAAACGTGCCTTGCCGGGGGGGCCTGTCCGAGCAGCCGCAGCACCACCGCCGCCCGCCCCACCGCCCGCCCCGCCTCGCGCTCCGTGCCACTGAACAATATCGCCGAGCACGCTCCTAAGCTACTGTGATGTGTGCGTCTCCTCCTGCCGCCACCACGGCTCCGCCTTAGAGCTGCGCTAGGATTGCGAGACGCGTTGATTCGCCCGAACGAAGCCCGCCAACTTTCGAACTCCGGGTTCCGCGCGTCCCCTCAAAACGCCGATCGCAGTCTCTCCGAGTCGCGCATGCGCGAGTGTCTCACCATCTGATCCACACGAATGGCTCCGCGCAAGCGGCCTCCGAGCAGCGCGCTCGTGCTGTGCGACTGGCACGGCTGTCCCGTGCTTCGCGGCGGCCCCAAGGCAAGGCGCAGCGGCAGCCGACCAGTGTACGCCGACTTTCGGTGCCCACTAGGCTCTTCGGGCCACTCGGTCGACGTGTACCAGAAATATGCGATCTACACGTGGCACTACCACCGCATCATTGACTGCTTCCTTCCGCTGCTGCCGCTGCTCCACCGCGTCCACAATGACATCAGCCGCGGCCACGGGCGCAACCTCGTCGTGCTCGTGCAAAACCACTCTGTGGGCGACTTTCTGGGAGAGTGGACGCGGCTGCCCCGAGTTGAGCTGAGCGATGAGCTGCCACGGAGCCGGCTCCCCCTGGTGCCCCGCAGCTGGACTGTCGACAAGGCCACGGCGCCAACCAACCTGACGCCGAGCAACCTCCGTGGCCGCCCGGCCGAGGCACCCCCGGCACTCTCCCGAGCCGCTCCCGGGACGGTCCGCCGACCGCCGTTTACCGTCAGCATAGGAGCTGCTCGCGCTGCCTGGATGCTGCCCGAGGCCACCGAGCGCATCAGAGCTGCTGCGGCGGTACACTACGCATTGGCTCGGCGTCCCGCCACCGCCACGGGCGGGCGCAGTGGCGCCGCGGACAACCCTCCTCGTGCACCGAGGTGATAGTGTGGAAAGAGAGTCGAGAGAGTTGCACGCCTACCTGTACCTGTCCACCTAGCTTACCGTGCCACAGCCGCGCACAGTGATGGAGAGGCGAGGGAGGCACAAGCACACCTGTCCACCCAGCTTCCCGCGCCAACAGTCTAGCGGCAGGAGAGCCGCCTCGAAAGGTGGGCAGAGACCGACGCCTCCCCGCGCCGCGAGGTACCACCGGCAGTGGCTTTCGGCTGTGGGAGCGGAGCAGCTACGAGCGGCTGCGCTGGGAACTCCGCCGCGCCCATGGTGCGCTGCTGCGGGTGCACACGGGGCGCGAGCGCCTCCTCGACCAGCTGCGCCTCTTTGCACGCGCCGAGAGCATCGTCGGCTACCACGGCGGTGCGTTCGCCGCCCTCGCATTTTCGCGGCGTGCGTGCGTGCACGAAGTGAGCACGTTTGCACGGGTGGGATCTGTCGACCCGCGGGACATGTGGCGGAGCAATCGCGAGCCACTGCTCGCGCACGCGCCTCTGGAGCGGGATCGCAAGCGAGTCCCCCAGGCCGGCGCGCGTCTTCCAAGAGAGGAGCCGGAGCGAGGGACCTCCTTAGTAAGCCGGCATGCAGGCGCATGCGCGGCCGTTCAGAAACTTTCCCAGCCGTTGGAATGGCTGCGCTCCCGCCCCTCACCGGGCCGCGAACGGGTAGTAGACGTTGGTGCCGAGGAGGGAGGAGTCGCCGAAGGACGGGTAGTCGTCGGTCATGCGGGGGGAGGAGGAGTCGGCGAGCAGCAGGGAGGAGAAATGCCTGAGAGGGTGGGGAGGGAGGCGTGAGGCGCAAGGTGAGGGGGCGCGGGGCGCGGGGCGTGCGTGGGACGCGCGGCGTGAGGCGCAGGGCGTTGGGCGGGAGGGCGCGGGGCGCTCGAGGTTGGGGCAGGGTGTGTTTTGTGTGTCTGTATGTGTGTCTGTATGTGTCTCTGTGTGTGTGTGTTTGTTTGTTTGTTTGTGCGAGGGCTAGGCGGGGCAGGGCAGGGCGGCGGCGAGCGGCGAGCGGCGTCGGCGAGATCGGCGATGAAGAGAGGCGATGGTGACGTACACGGCGGCAGTGTTCACGGCAGCAGCGCCGGTGGCGGCCCCGCGCAGCGGTGGCGGCGCCCTGAGTGAGGCAGACTGCCCTGCACAGCCTGCTGGGCACGCTCCCGACGAGCGGCGCGCCATGCGGGCCCGCCGCGGGCGACGCGGGCGGCGAGCCGACACGCGTGTCGCAGGCGTAGACAGCACTGGCGAAGCGAGGCGGCTGGCGCCGGCCCCGGAGGCGGCTGCAGTAAGAGCAGCGAGGCAGAAGTCACTGTCCAAGGCGTACTGAGCAGGCTGCCATCGAGCAGCGCGCCATGCGGGCCTGCCGTCGGCGACGAGATTGGAGAGCCGACAGGCATCGAAGAGGTAGGTACTGAGGAGGGCCATCGCGCCCGAGGCGGTCCGCGCCGGCCCTGCAGGCCGTCTCAGAGAGCCTGGCGAGGCTGTACAGAATGCCAAGCGGGGGGCGAGGGTGGCGGCGGGTTGATCACGAAGTACCGGTAGAAGGTCGAGCGCGAACGTGCGAGCGAGCGGCAGGCGAGCGAGCGGCTAGGCGGCGGGAGGGCGAGGCGAGGGTGGCGGCGGTGGATCACGAGGAAGTAGAAGGTCGAGCGCGAACGTGCGAGCGAGCGGCGAGAAGGTGGCGGCGGCGAGGGCGGCGGCGGTGAGGAGGTAGAAAGTCGGGCGCGGGCGAGCGAACGGCGAGCGACGGCCCCCCGGGGCGGGATAATTATTTTGCATAATTTCTTTTTTGCGCCGGCTGAAATTCTTTGTTGGGCCGGCGCAGTACCCCCCTCGAGATGAGAAGAAGGACAGGGCGGGGTGGCCAAGTGCTTTTTTTTGAGCGCCGTGCTGAGCTCGTCGGACTCTCGGCTAATCTTGCGGTGCCCCTGCCTCGTCGCCCATGACCGTCGCCCTCTTCCTCTCGGCCGCCGTCGCCTTGACCCCGGGCCCTGCGCTTCGCACCACGCCGGCCGTCCGCCCTGCCGTCGCGCCGGCGCTCCTCGCCGCTGCCTCGGATGAGTCTGACAAGGCGATCGTGTCCAAGCCGGTCGCCATCGCGATCGCGGCCATCGCCATCGGCGGCGGCGCCGTGTACGGCCCGGCCATCGTCAACAACCCGATCATGCAGAAGGCGGCCAAGAAGGCCATCGGCGGCGGCCTCTCTGGCGCCATCGCCGGCGTGGTTCAGGTCCTGGCGCTGATGTGGATGCGCACGGTGAGGGCCCTTCCCCACCACCACCAACCGCCGCCGCCCTTCTGTCGCAGCCGCCCCGCCG